TTATTCTTGCCAACAAGATATTCTTGCGAGAATTATTATTTGATCGTATATTCCCCTTGATATATCATTTATACATATACATGAATATTTCTTGCTCAAAACCTAGCGAACGGGTTTTCTAACCGTTTATATATCTGCATATATCTTAGTATTCATTAGTATATTATTTTGAGTTTATAGGGATTACTGAATAAATTTGATCTCCATCTAAACTCTGAGTCAAACTGCTGTACTCGTTTTGTCGATGGTCATATTTCTGTACTTCTTTTTTCAACAACTTGAAAACTGTTTATTCTCGGACTTTGTGCCTATGAGAACTTTCAATTAAAACATCGTGANGAACATTATACTTAATTTTCAGCCAATGTGACCGGGAGCCATTTCCCATAAGATTTGTGCTTGATTCTTTAAGAACAAAGCTCATTTAATATTGAAATAGTAAAGAGATATTCGGTCATTGTGACTCACTTGCTAGATATTTAAACAAATGTTTATTTAAACATGTAAATCATTATATAGTATGTAATAATTCAAAATAAAATTTAGTTNANAACTTTATCTAGGATGTTTAGTTTACATTTCATATAGATAAAANATCCAAATTTTATTTTTTTTAGAATTCAAATGAAAAACAAGCAATGTTTCAAGCATTTGCAAAACATTTTGAAAATCATACATTACCATCTCTACACGAAATTCAGGAGATTAAGAAAAAATATGTTTTTTTTAATCGACGTTGTTTACAGCATATTAATACGTGGATAATTACAACAAAAGAAACATCGATACTTATAATACACACGATTCTTTTGTAAATTATATGTTACACTAGCTTAAAATCCATTGTGTTACAAAAAAATGTTTGTTTTAGTTAAATTATAAAAAAAACACATGACACAAACTACATGATTTTATTTGATTCTTATTAGAGTTCAGAGAAATTGATNCTACTAAGCCCATCAAAATGATGGTTTTCAAATTTCTTGCTAATAATTGAAAATGAATGAATTAATAAATGTTTTTAATTACTCGAGTATATCGAAAATCATTGCTTGCAACAATTTTACTACAAACAAAAAAACCAAATACAGCGTACGCTAGCTTTGTACTATAACTTTGACAGCTCGACAAAAACGTTGTGANTAAAAAAGTTCTGCAAAACTTTGAGAAAAGTTTTTTAATTACATACACATTATTATGCAAATATTTATAATGTTCAATAAAACATTTTGAGATAATTTGGCCAAAATATCGGCCACATGATAAATTACTTTTAAACGCTTACTTTCAGAAAGTATTGTATAATATCTCGGTAATATGATAATAAGAGTTTTGTTCCAAAATGATCTTAGAAATACGTCATTTAAATTAAGGTCGTAAGTTGCGGGATACATCACTTTTTTTGTAGAATAGATTTTATAGATAACAATGTTGTAGTGATATCACATAACATACATTAATACTTTGTTTCAAAAGTGTAAAATATATATGTTTATACTAATATACGTAATATTTGTTTTTTTTGTATAAGAAAAAATGTGAAATTTGATTTGAAAAATTGTATGTAACACAATAACTAAACTTTTACTTTGGTTTGAAGTTATATAAAATTAGTTAGCGTTACTGTTTTTATTATAAATATCATTTCTCTCGTAAAATAGACTTTATTTATAGATAATAATGTTGTAGAATTATATTTGTTNTAACTTTTCTGCAGAGGTATTATACAGAAAATAGCCGTACAATTGCTCGTGGGTAAAGAGACTTATACTGAGTCGGTAGCCATATATGGGTTACCGATACGGGCGGACTGCACCTTTGAGAGGAGTTGGTTAGCGGTGGCTTCCTTTTGTAAACAAGTAATGTTGCAGAAAGAAGCTACAGAAAGAGAGATGAAGCGCAGTACCCCGGCTTTTTTCCGATTCTGCCGTAGACAACATTGAAAAGCGCTCTTTGTGATTGTGAGTTTGGGCCAATNACTAACGAGTCACATGTGGAGGTTACGCGGTCTTCCAGTTTCTATGTTGCGCATGAAAACAATGTGCGATTCGCAAAATAAAACAGAAAAAATAAGTGATTTCTGAAAAAATAAAACAAAATGGTTTATTATTGTATTAGTGAAAGTTGTAGAAACACAAATTACAAACAGCAACACAAAGAAAATGACATCAGCTTGAATATTTTTGCGTAAAATTTTTAATTNCTATAAATTCAATAATAATTTAACATCAAACACTTGTTACTAAAAAATGATTAAAAATACATTTAAAAAGTTAGACATGCAACATTTGTTTACAAATATTGAAGATCACATTAAAGAATTATGTGTTTTACGAAANTTTAAATACAAATTATTATAAATAAAATTATTTATTGCTTATTTATACATAAAATCATACNTAAAAAAACGCTTACTTTTAAGGCTTATGATATTTTTATCAGGTATACGAAAAAGTTAACAATACGGAAAAGTATATATCGATAATTTAACAATATCTTTGTTACTATATTATAAATTTTTAGTTAAGTCATAAATTGTTAGTATCTACTATAAAGTTTTTAAATTAGGTACATTAAATCAGTTTTTATAAGTAATTGTTTACAATTTAAATCTTTGACTGTACTTTCCTTCTTGGATATTTGAATTTCCCGCTTTTTGNCCCAAAGGCGATGCCTATTTTTTATTTATTTTATCTACGCTGCTTATGCATTGCTTAAATGGGAAAATTGGGGAAAATTGGAAGTCCATGTTTATATAATCAAAGCGAGTGACTAACTCGACAATTCTGTAAGGAGCTCCTCGGAATGTGTCAAGATTTCCGATTGAAGCGGGATAATCACAAGAGGGATACTCTACTCCCTCTTGCGCATTATTACGGTGTGCATTATTACGGTGCGCATTATTACGGTGCGCATTATTACGGTGCGCATTATTACGGTGCGCATTATTACAGTGTCTAATTGAACGGTGCGCATCTTTCTGTGTACAAACGAACGGTGCGCAAGTGAACGGTGTCTAATTGAACGGTGNGCATATTTCTGTGTACAAATGAACAGTGCGCATTTGAACGGTGTNTAAATGAACGGTGCGCATTTTC